TCTCTCTCTCTCTCTTTCTTTCTGCGTTTGGTTCGATTAATTGGCAATTATCACTGCTCGGCACTCTATATTTAGTGTGTCTTGCTGTCAATTAATGCACACTCGGCTATGCGGTACCAGATACTTCCACTAGTCACTTTAAGCGTGCCATCGACACCGACACAGCGCAAGCAGCGATTGCTCCACTAAAAGACCACTTCTTCTGATTAATGTTCGCCATCAGTGGCAAATTACGTAGACATGAGAAAAAATCTGGTGCAAAGTGGAAAAAAAGAAGGCTGACAATTGACATTTCCGTTCAACGTAGACGCTGCTCAGACGTTCATTGCAGAAGTTTGGCTGTTGTGAGAAAAAATGGCCGCAGTTTTTCAGTGCTTTATTAATTGGATCACTTCCTAATTTAGCTACCGCAAACAACTGGATGTTTCCATTTTTAGTTTTTTGCCAGATTTAGCTCTAGTTACCTAATCTTTGCTGTTGGAGTTGCCTTATCAGAGCAAATCACAGTGGGGCAATATGATGACACTGAACCAAGTCGTGTCCCAGCACCGAGCACTGAGTTTTATCAGATTTTTGTGCGTGTCAGAGTGGCATTAGAGTCTCAGGTGCCGCTTTTATCTGCACAAGCTTGTTTCCCACTTTTGCTACCCACAAACTGGAGGTACTGATTGAGCACAAAGTAGTGTAGTGGCACAAACTGTCTGGTTTTGGTTTTGTTTTGTTTTTTCTTTGCAGCCAGCACCGTTTATGTTTTGTTTGCCCGTCTGCCCACACAATGCTAGTGAAGGGCAACAAATGCAGTGCCGAAAAGTGCCAGACAAAAGAGAAACAAGAGAAGATAGCTAGTAGCCAGCCAGAGTGAATAGGAATGGAAGAAGAGGGCAAATTGATGGCGCCAAGTGAATACTGCTCGCCACATCGAGTGAACTCTGCTGCAAATGGCCACCCAGCAAATGTCAAACTAGCAAGGGGCGGAATTCTTTCAACACAAAGAGCCACCACAAAGGCAGCTCCTTGGCGCCGTCCGTCATAAATAAGAACACTCTGTGTCCTTCAAAGTGACGACCACGTCGGTCACAAATGAGTCAATTAAATTGGTAGCTCGCTACCAGTTACCAGCTTCCCTCTCACATTCCAATACTGAATATGTATGAATTCACAAATTCAAAGAATCGAGCAGTCAGCGTGTGTGTGTTTTTTTGGTGGCGAGAAGTGGCAGCTCCCTGCAGAACTGCTCTGCAGTCGTTTTTGTGGAGGGCAATAAATTAAACATTTTTCGAGCAGCCATAGCAGTGGTCTCGGGGTCTCTCTTGCTTGATACATTGACATTAGCTGGCTGTACTGTCTACCCTAATGGCTGATGGTGGTGGTGGTGGCCAACAGACGAACGGACGGGCGCTAATTTGGCGTACTGGACACTACGGCAACGAATGGCACACGGTCGAGGGTAATTGTGAAATATGAAAATGGGCAGACGAGTGAAGACAGACGGTCAGTGGACAACAGTGCCCGACTGCATGTAACGCACAAGTGGGCGACTGCTGCTGCTGTTGTCTTGATGATGATGATGATTTTCGGAGAGTACACAGGCAGATTAGGCAATTAGTGGTGGCGGTGCTGGTGGTGTCTTGGTGCTCACTTCAATTGTTAATTTCTGTCCTGGTCAAATGGTCACCGCTCCTCTAAACCATAATGGCCTGTATTTTCGGTGATCATCAATTGTGTCCCTGTCTCTTTTTCTTTTTTTTGCGAGAATGACGGTCATTGTAATTAGCCAATCAAAGGCAGGCACAAATCGGGTGCTTAGTTTTCCTCCTAAGCTGCATTGTCTGAATGTGAGAAAGAAACTGATTTGTGGCTAGATTAATCGGAGAGAAGTGTTACTCTGTCTGTCAAACTGAGCTGATGGTGATGGTGGTGGTCAGTGGAGGATGGCTTCATTAGAGGATTGAACTGATAAGCTGATGAGCTCATTTTATACACTCACTCACTCGCTAACACTCCTTGATGCCTGAACACAGATAAGATGCACTTTGATCGATTTGAGGCGCACAGCTGCGCAATTCATCACAGGTATGTTATCTTCCTTCTCAGAAAATCCCTATGTTTTTCCGCTGTTAGCAATGGCAGTGCTAATTAATACATCAATCAGCTTCTGCAACGCCTGGCGTTGGTGTCGATCANTTTGATCGATTTGAGGCGCACAGCAGCGCAATTCATCACAGGTATGTTATCTTCCTTCTCAGAAAATCCCTCTGTTTTTCCGCTGTTAGCAATGGCAGTGCTAATTAATACATCAATCAGCTTCTGCAACGCCTGGCGTTGGTGTCGATCAATGGTGGTGGTGCTGGCGTTTAGGGTGGCATTCATCAGCACGACACCCTCCAAAGAAGTAGCTCTAACAGTGATAAAACCTGCCAAAACAGCAGCAGCAGCACCTCTGGGCACTGGTCGGTTTTGCAACCAGTCTCGCTCAGGGCAATTTTGCTGAAAAATAGCAAAGAAATTCATGGCCAGTTTGATCATTTCAAGGTGCACCATTTCTGCGATGGTTCGAATGGTCGTCTGAAGATAGAAAAGTCATTCGAGTCGGCACTTAAGTTGAGAGGGGTAAGAGTAGTTGAGTAGTCAGTGCGCCTAATGGCACTGTCACGACTGCGAGGATAAGTATCACAGTCTGGTGCGTGGAGATTGCATTGCACTGTGTCAATTGAATGATGTCCACGCAATGATGTGGTCAATTGCAGGCACTCATTTGCTGCCTCGCTCATTCAGAGGCAAACAGACCATTTGCATCGATTTAGAAAGTCGTCTACAGGACATTGCAATTTAATTCAATAATGAGTATTCGACTCATTCTCCTGATGAGTCGATTTGCAAAATTCATGTCTGCTTGTCTGGATTGTGTCGTCATGGTTGGGTTCAGTAAACCGATTGATAAGTGTACTGCAATTGAATATTAGTCAATAAAAAAGTTTTATTTGTTGCAAAATTGAAAAAAATGTACAGATGCTGGTTTCTGTAGCAAAGACGTGTGTGTGTGAAAAAGAAAGTGTGGGAAGTATTAAATGCGTTAAAAAATGGCGGTAGAAAGAGGGTTCAATTGTGAAGAAGGTGTGTTTAGTACAATGTGAAAGTGCAAATGATGTGATGGTGAAGACATGGTGCACAGGATCATGATAATGGCTGATAACGATTGAAAGGAGATAAAGTGCTGATAAAAGTTCGGGTGAAATGGCTTTGGTACAGAAAAAGACAGTGGCAGAGACAAATAAAAATAAGAAACGATGAAATATATATTGCCAGTGATGTTGTGGGGACAGTTCAACTTCTAGGCATTTTAGATAGATTGGAGAACCACAAATTAAGAATGGGAATCGATGTGACAAATGATGATGATGATGATGACTGGCGTTCAAAGACTTTGAAGCACACAGTGATACTGTAAATGCGTGTGTGTGTTTGTGCTCACTGACGAATGACCAATCTATGGTCGATCAGCGCAGACTGTCTGACTGGTCGATTGGCCGGTTATTATCGATTAGCTTTGCTTCTGCAGTCCAGTCAACTGCGCCGTGTCTGTACAGGAGGGTTAAGAAGGAGAAAGATGAAGGGTGGGGGGTCAGAGTACCCGGCAGAGTTGCAGTTGGAGTTAGAGGCCACCTGGGCAGAGAAGGAAAAAGTAGTAGTAGTTGTTGTTGTTGAAGTAATGGCTAATATAAGTGGTGTTTGTGCTTGTAGTAAGTAGGAGAGATTTGTGAATACAGTCTACCACTACCATTGTGTATGTCTGTGTTTGTGTGTGGATTTTACTTTGTACAAGGGATTTAGAGAGAAAGAGAATTAGAGAGTTTTGAACGACAGAAGAAAAACAAGGAAAGGGATGTTTATGTGTACAGAAAGGATAACCAAGGAGAGCGAGAAAGATAAATAATAAAGAATGTAATAAAAATATGACCGAATAGAACAACGTAAATTAATCATTTTTACTAGGAAAATAATAAGGATTGCAAAAGAGGAGTTGAATAGAATTGAGAAAAACAGAAACCAGCCGATTGCTGTTTGTGTTTGATCTGGCAAAGGAGTTTAGAAAAATGGCTACTTGATAATTTTGACAAATATTGCTACGAAGAATGAAAAAGCGGTGACCACTCATTCAACTTCAGCGGAGAAAAAAATGGTAAAAAAGGAGTAAAGTAGAATTATAACAGGCACAACCAAAAAAAAAAAGAAATGAAGACAGAGATCGAGTGGCTGGTGATGAATCAACCAGAAACTGTGTGAACCGGGATGAAGTCGTTGAATGGATAAATGAAAAACGGTTTTAGCCAGAAAGAAATGATTTGGTCAGTTTTGTAAGGAAGGTTGGTGATGAACACAGTCTTCGACGGTGGGCACGCTCAAGATGCCAGGTGGGAGAGGAAAGGGAGGGTAGAAAGTGTGGGATGACACCTTAGGGCGGTATCAATGCCAAATGAAATGGAGAAGAAGAAGATAATGATGATGCTGATTCAACTACTGTTCGGATTCCGATACTGTTCACGCAGAGGCCACCGAGGCTGGCGACGCACATCCATGCTGGTGAAGATGACCACTCTGAACTGGACTTCCTCCATTGCTGTTGGCGCTGCCCGTCGCCGATGCGCCGGTGTGTCGTTTCATGTGCAGTGCCAGGTGGTCAGAGCGTGAGAAGCACCGCTCGCAGTGCTTACACTTGAAGGGCTTGCTGCCGGTATGCTTTCGGTAGTGGCGGGTCAGCTCGTCGGATCGGGCGAAGCGCCACTCGCAACCCTGCCACGAGCACTGGTACGGCTTTTCACCTGAAAAAGGGAAAAGGAAAAGATGGAGTTTTGAGTTACTAAAATGTTGCAAAGCTAAAAGTTTAAATAACACAACATACCTGTATGTGTCCTCTGGTGGGCCTTCAGGTGCGAGGATTTGGTGTAGACCTTCTTGCAGCCGTTGAAAAGGCACTTGTGAATGCGACGCTTCCCATCGGCAGAGAGGGACAGTGCTGTGGAGTTGTTGTTGCCGTTAGAAGAGGAGGAGGAGGAGGAGATGGGCGAAGAGGAGGGTGATGTGTTTGGAGATGCACTCTCCGAAGACGCCATGGTGTCATTCTCCTTGGTAGCCGAGGTCTTCTGACGATTGGCAGCAGACTTCCATCGTCCCACAGACTGCCCATTAGCCATCTGTCTGCCCTTTCCATTCACGGGCGACGGGCGACTGCCTGGGGCGTTGCTGCATGGCGTAGTACTGGTGAGGTTTGGGTTTGCGAGGATGACAGCAGACGGTTCGGCAGAGTTGGGTTGGCCCAGGGCGACCAGGACATTGGAGGCGCTCAGTTGGAAGGCGGCCGCCGCCGCCGCCTGAATCGGGTTGGTTGCAACTCCGTTGATGTGCAGAGGCTGAGGAGGATGACTGGAGAGGTGAGGCGATGCTGACTTGAAATCGGTGACTCGACAGTGGCTCGACACCGGAACGACACGCCGTTCAGGCGAGGTGGGCGGTGTGAGTGAGCCCACTGCGGAGAGTGGCACCGAACTGACGGCCTTGCTGTTGGCGCAGTTGCCGGCAACTGCAGTGCCGACGGGCAGCGCTGTCACCGCCAGTTGGCCATTTTTCATTGGCGAGGAGATGACGCGGATGTTGGTGGGCAGTGCCGCCGCAAAGCGAGCCCCGCTGCTGGTCACCTTTGTGATAATGTTCGTGCTGATCAGCTGTGCCTGTTGTTGTTGTTGTTGCTGCTGCTGCTGCTGTTGTTGTGTTTGCTGTTGTTGCACCCTGGCTTTGCCCTGATTGGCCGGACGTTTGGCTCGTCGACCCCCGCCTGTGGTAGTGGGGATGGTAATGGAGGTGGTGGTGATGATGGGTGAAAAGTGCTGTTCATCATTCGTTGTCGGCATCTCACACTCACTGAAAGAGGTATCAAGCTGGTCATCAATGAGACCGGGTTCAAATGGGTCCTGGCCCTCTAAGAACTCGTCAAAGGGCAGCTGCTCGTCGTCCAGCTCAGGCCAGTCGTGCGATGAAGCTGAAGAGGCGGATGAAGAGGAGGCAGAGGAGGAAGAAGGCGTCATGACCAGACTGCCTGGGGCGCAGACGCTGCCAAACTGAAAGGACGTCGGCACTGAAGAGGTGACCGAAGAGGAGAGACTTGAGAAGAGAGAATGGTGGTCGTGGAGGACTGATCCAGTGGAAACCAACCGACGGATGCCCTCAACGCCATCACCGCCAACCATCGTCGGAATGACCATCATCTTTGTCGTCGTCAGCGTGGACGTCGGCGTAGGACTGGAGGAGAGCGATGATGAGCCGTAGGAAGAGGAGGTTTGGGAGGACTTGTCGTCCTCATTGTCGGAGGACTTGTTCGACTCGGCGTCAGAGTTGNCATCTTTGTCGTCGTCAGCGTGGACGTCGGCGTAGGACTGGAGGAGAGCGATGATGAGCCGTAGGAAGAGGAGGTATGGGAGGACTTGTCGTCCTCATTGTCGGAGGACTTGTTCGACTCGGCGTCAGAGTTCAGGTGGCCGCTGATGTTGAAACCGCTCATCATAGGCGCCTTTCCATTCATCGTCATCGTCATCTGTCCCCGGCCGGCTGCTCCATTAAAGTTGGAGCAGTTGGAGGTCACCTTCATCTTCTTTGTCTGGTTCAGTTGCTGTTGCTGCTGCTGTTGATGTTGCTGCTGTTGCTGTTGTCTGGCTGATTGCTCACTGCCCGAGAGAAGAGCGTCAAGACTGTCGAGGTCGTAGTCGAAGCTGGCGAGGGAAACGGCTGCCGCCGCTGTCTGGTGAAGCTTCGGTTCGTCGTAGAGAAAGCGTTCCATTTCGAGCATAGTCTGCGTAGAATAGAGAAGAGAAGAGGAAGACCATTAGTAGGCAATTAGTGGCAAGTGGCAATTAATTATAATTAGATTAGAGAATGAAAAGAGGGAAAGGGAGGCACACGATCGAAGTGCTCTTTCGAACTCGTTTTGTTCGCTTTTTCGGTATTGAAATCGGAGGGGGCGAGCTTTCAACCTCAAATCTGAAAAATTTGGTCGGGTCGTGGTTTGGCACCGCGACCCAGCCGTTTGGCGGCAGAAACCCTTTCACTCCTTTTTCATCATCATTCAGCCCGTTCTTTCACTGCACTGCTGCACTCATCGGTGTGCACTTGGGCAGAAACTGAGTAGCGAGCACTCTTTTTTTCTGGTAGCTGCTCTTCTTCGTTTTAAATGAAGAGCTCGCTTTTCTCATTCCCTTTCTGATCACTTTTTCATCCTAAATTTTTTGTGTTCATCAGTGCGCCAGCCAGGGCACAGATGGGCACCGGGACTGTACGTTTGGCTCTTTACTCATTGGCACGTTCAGTGAACGCCTGAAGAAACTGCTGCTGCTGCCACTGGCACCAGCTAGGTGCTTATTATCGTCATTAAATCGACTGAATCATAGTCTTCTTCTTTTCTGCTGCTGTCGTTCAGATGGAATCGACCGAGACTGAACAATGAGAGCGCAGAAGACGACAACGACTTCTGCTGCCAAAGACCGAAGGAAGACAGAAGTCAGCAGTCAACGAACCGAGACAATAATCAAAAGGGGAGAAGAGAAAGAACACTGAAAGAAAGAAACAAGAGTTTTTTTCGTCAGCGCCAAGTGTGATTGTGAACACAAATCTGAAGCAGTTGTTGTTGGACAGGTATTTTCTCAGTGAAGTAGCAGCAGAAGCAGTGTTCTCACTCTCTGCCTGAATGAACTACTGACTATGCTGTAGAAAGAAACGAAAACGTAAGCCTGATAAAAAAGCGAAAGTTGCAAAGTGAGAGGATCTACAACTAAATCGGTGATAGACCGTTGTTATGTAAGCGGATGCGCAGACTGCACTAGCAACCACAAAGAGCGGCAAACACCTCCACGCCGCAGGTCAAGCGATCAGCAGAGGTCAATGCTGCTGCTGATGATGATGGTCCTGTTGAAGATGGTGGTGGTGGTGGTCTATATCAGACAAGTAGTGCACACTGACCAAGAGNGCACTAGCAACCACAAAGAGCGGCAAACACCTCCACGCCGCAGGTCAAGCGATTAGCAGAGGTCAATGCTGCTGCTGATGATGATGGTCCTGTTGAAGATGGTGGTGGTGGTGGTGGTGGTGGTGGTCTATATCAGACAAGTAGTGCACACTGACCAAGAGGTGATAACGAGCACGACAAATGAGTGTCGACTGCCAAACTGCTTGAATGAAAGAATGAGCGAATGCACTAACGGCCATTAGGTAGAGCACCTAAGGTAATATTTGTGTGGGAGAAGTCCTTTGTAAATTAACTCTATTAGCATATTTTTGGGTGCCCATTAGGTGGGTGAACAAGAGTGAAATGGAGAAAGCAAACAGCACCTGCACTGTGTTTGCTCGGTATTAAACAGGGGGGAAATGGATGGCAGAAAAGTCAGTGATCACAGCGACGGTGTGACATTAGTGCCTGTACTATTCTGCTAATGCTGATTACTCCCAATGGCAGAGTAAATGACCAAAGAGAGTGCAGTGCGTTTCTGTTTTTGGTGGCAGTGTTCACTGGCTGACACATGCAAATGACCATCAAGAGCGCAATGACCACACGCACGCAAACGACCATGTGGCCAGTTTGTCTCCTACTTCAGTCATACTTCATAGTGTTTTTTTCTTTCCTCCAGTCTGACCTTTAGCCTAAACGATGGCCATCCAATACTTTGCGGTCGATTTGACTACATTTCCATTGGCCATCAGATTCGATGCTCTCTTTCTTTCTCTCACTCCGCCGGACATTGGCATTGCTGACGAGGCACTCTTCGTTTGATGGCGGCAGCGGCAGCAGCAGCAGAGAAAGCACTCTCACAGAGAAAGAGCACTGTTGGCAATTAAAGAACGACGAATTGTGAATAGTGCTGCCATCAGATAGCGGCTGAATGCTGCTGCTGCTGGTGGTGGGAACCCTAAAGTGTAGTGCTGGTCGCAGAAGAAGACGCAGTACCACAGAATGCCTGAATGAATGAACCAAAGAAAAGAAAAGCGAGCGAGGGTATGTGAGAGTGCAGTGAACGGCACCGGCACCCGGACACACAACAGCAGCAGCAGACGTGGCCTTCCTTTTCCGCTCTGAGTGTACTGCACCGCTGCCAACTGTACACACACTGCACGCAAGGCTGAAGCTGAAGAAGAAGAGTTCTGGTCTTTGGCGCATGGCGAAGCACTGCTCTCTCTCCGCCGGACGATGCACGTAGTAGTGCCTTCAACCGCCGCTGCTGCACACTGTCGATGTCGTTGGCCATGAACCCACACTGGCGGTCATTCGCGCGGAGAACCAACAGAAGGGAAGGAAAGAGAGAGAAAGATTGTCTGTTCTCTCTTCTGTTCTCTCTTTCGCCTGCTTTGTCTGGCGCCTCGATGGAAAAGAGAGACTCTGAGAGTGTGTGAGGACATGCGTGAGGACTGCTCTCGCTCTTCCTCCTCGACGTCGTCGTCAGTGCAGAAGGAATCGTCTCGCTGAATCTCGATTCTGTTCTGGCAGCAAGCGGCAAGCGAGTGTGCGACTGGAGCGTCTGTGCGGCGGCCGTTAACAAGTCAGCCTAGAGTGAGTGAGAGCGAGTGAGCAAGCGAGCGAAGGTCCTCTCGGGCTCACTGACACTAGAGAGGCAGAAGAAGAAAAAGTGGAGGAAGAACAGAGTCGACGTTCTCAGTTAATGGCTGCAGAATTTACCATCTTATTCTGTCGTGAACGGCAGTGGTCTCCGAAGGAAGGAAGGAGAGTGAGAGCATTCACTCGAGGCTTCACCATCATTCGCAATGACGCTTAATTTAAACCGAAGCAAACTGATGCTGAACAGTGCACAGAGAATGAAGAGGGCGCAGAGAAAGCGCAGAAGGCCGCTTAAGGATGCATGGGCACAGCAGCCCTCATCTCATCATGAGCAGCAGACTGATGCTCAATTGGCAGCCAGACGGGTGGTGATAGTGATGTCGCTGAACCGCAGGCAAACTGGTGCACAAATTCTTCTCCATCTTCATTTTCTCCTTCCTTTCCATTCACAACAAACGCAGGAACACACACACATGGACAAAGACAGTGGTTTTGAATAAGCATCGCTCTCTCTCTTTTCTTCCAATCTGCATTCACTATTGCATCCTCCTCATCAGCGCACACGCACACATTCATAACCTTTGACCCGAGGGCAAAGGCCCTGCTCGGCAGAGCACTAGTAGTAGTGCCTGCGCTCACTGTTCCAATGGCACAGTAGATGCAGTTGTGCCCAGCCTAGCTGTGCCTTATCTCATCGGTGCCTAGCATCATCGGCAGCAGTCCCGACCCAAACCGGGCCTGAGCTTTGCAGACCCGTTTACTTTATGGTTCTAGTAAATTTTAGGCCGAACACTGAGCAAGAGAATGAGAATGAGCCGTTTTCGTTTGTTCGGCAGGCAAAGCCTGGCTATGGCCGGTTCACACAAATTTTCTTTTTCAGCAGCGTCGGCGAAAGTGGCTCAAAGTGATCACTCTCCCTCTCATTCTCCTCTCTTTTCTCTCTCATACACATTATCCATATGGCATCCATCTGCCTCAGTGCTTTCTTTCGCTCNGCCTAGCTGTGCCTTATCTCATCGGTGCCTAGCATCATCGGCAGCAGTCCTGACCCGAACCGGGCCTGAGCTTTGCAGACCCGTTTACTTTATGGTTCTAGTAAATTTTAGGCCGAGCACTGAGCAAGAGAATGAGAATGAGCCGTTTTCGTTTGTTCGGCAGGCAAAGCCTGGCTATGGCCGGTTCACACAAATCTTCTTTTTCAGCAGCGTCGGCGAAAGTGGCTCAAAGTGATCACTCTCCCTCTCATTCTCCTCTCTTTTCTCTCTCATACACATTATCCATATGGCATCCATCTGCCTCAGTGCTTTCTTTCGC